AGGAAGGACAAGCATACGTGGCTCTAAGTCGAGTCAAGTCTCTGGAAGGGCTATGTATTGAGGAATTAGATTGTACTAAATTATCAGGTAAGAAACCATATAATAATGATGCACTGAATGAATTAAATAGAATGAGGAATATTCGGTAAACAATTTCACTAAATACTAAAAACAAGAAAATAAAAATCGGTAAAAAACTTTTAAGTTAAACGGTTTTATTTTATGTGCACTGAAAACTACAAAATAAATAAATAGTTACTTACCTATCAACCTATGTAGGTGATCTCGGTCATTAATATCTCTGATGGTAGTGGTTGTCATAACATGAACCATGTCAGCGGCCGAAAGGCTGTTCATGAGAGAACACTAACACCAGGGTTTGCTTGGTAGGTAAACTAAGCAGCCCGCACTATAACAAGTAGGTATTTTGACCTTCTAGTTCAGAAATATTTTAGTACTAGGCAGAATAGCTTTTAGGCATATTAGACTAAAATAAAAACGTGTTCGGGCCCCTCTGAAATCATACCTATAGCAGAGCATATCTTATACTTTGGTAGATCATGAGCTCGGCGTTCGCTGGTGAAGCCGTAACGGCTGGTTATTGATGGTCAAAACCTCCAGTTACGATTATAGTAAGTCGATTCAGCGGACCCTGGACTCCGGAGCTATGAGGTTTCGGATGCGACCGGGATAAACCGCTAGGATGATGATGATGACGATTATAATAAGTCGATGCAATCCACACTTAGTATAGTAGAAAGTAATACAGAAATAGTTAATGGGCCCCACGTTTTTATTTTAGTCTAATATGCCTAAAAGCTATTCTGCCTAGTACTAAAATATTTCTGAACTAGAAGGTCAAAATACCTACTTGTTATAATGCGGGCTGCTTAGTTTACCTACCAAGCAAACCCTGGTGTTAGTGTTCTCTCATGAACTGCCTTTCGGCCGCTGACATGGTTCATGTTATGACAACCACTACCATCAGAGATATTAATGACCGAGATCACCTACGTAGGTTGATAGGTAAGTAACTATTTATTTATTTTGTAGTTTTCAGTGCACATAAAATAAAACCGTTTAACTTAAAAGTTTTTTACCGATTTTTATTTAATAATAACAATAAATTTGTTTAATGCCAACATTTTACTATTATAATACAATCGTTACAGGGATAGTAGAACACGATACAGTTATGTTACACAATACATTATGAGGACATATATTTTTTTTTTAATGGTGATAATGGAATGGTAACCCCGCCCGCGCTAACGGTATACGCTGGCGGAGCACCAGTGAGGGATGATAGGTGAGAACGAAAAGGCAGGTCAGTTAGCCCGTTAGTCAGTTAGTTATGAATTCCAGGCGCACTCATCACGATGGTTTCTAGAGGGGACCACAGGGAGGTCGACTTGGTTGGGCATATTGCTAATAATAGGGTCCTTAGTCTGCAATACTAATAATCCCTTCCCCCCCTAGGATATAAAGCTGGCAGTAGGTACAAATTCAGCTTCTGCTGAGATCTGGATCCATGCGCGTTCAGCGCTGATTTTCAGTCTGCATCTGTGCGGGAGCATCGTTGATTTACAAATTATTTATTACAATAATTTATTTAAATATGCACAGTATACATAAGTAGGAAAATTAAGAGGTTATGAATATGTTTGGATAAAATTTATCGGTAGGTACGTGTCAACAGTGAAAAGAATTAGCATACAGGCAAATAAAAAAAAGACGTTACATGTTCGGATGTAGATTTATAAGTACAAGTATATTCTATGACGAGAGCGGACTTCACGATCCGATGGCTCTCTGTTTGTTAAGGATTTTATAAAATTTTTAAATTTCAATGAAGTAAACATTTGGCGTAAAGGCGGAAGCAAATCGTTTCCAATTTATGTAAAGGTATTTGTGAAATAAAATCTTAATTTTGGTGATTGCCGTACGGAATCCTCACGCCGCCCGTGTCTATGTAGTAACATCATAGATTATATAGATAGAGCATGGAATCTCAAAAACGGGTCAACTTTTTGTCAGCTAATTGTCAAATTAGCTGACTCATTTTTTGTCAATGTTCTATATACATACTTACGCACATAATGTATCTCGACGTATCTATTAAATAATTATTTAATAAATAAAATGAGTTTTTACGCATTAAAAAGATGCAGAAATTCTGAAACAAAATAAATATAGAAGTTATAAAGGAAACACTCATAACCATATTTAGAAATAATAGGATTTTCATCGTGCCTCCAATCAAACAGTTTATCATTACTCCTCTCCATCCAAAGGTTGCCTGGAAGAGATCGCTCTTAGCGATAAGGTCGCCCATTGTTTTCTCATTGTGATTATTTCTTGTAATTGTTTATATTTAGAATAAGTTTATTATTGTAATTTTTTGGGGAAATAATAAAGCGTATCTGTTTATTTATATAATCTAAGGTATATATGCTGCAAGTATGTGCGTAAGTATGTGCTCGTGTGCCACTAGATAAGCGTACTCCTCAACAATCAAGGTAATGTGTGTACAATGAGTGACAAAAGTGTTCCCGTGCAGTGCTCGCGTGACGTTATCTGCTCATGTCACGCTGTTGTCTCGCTGTACGGCTTTCCCGTTTAATAATGCACCGGTGTTTAGGACAAAGACGCCTGTATTACCGTTTCCCTCACACGTTAAGAGGCGCGAGAAAAAAATTATATAAATACCACTTTCTTAGCAGAGAACAGCGACTTCATTAAAAAAAAAATACGCCGCTGAGTGAATTGATGTTAACGTAATTTGGATTGTATGTATTTGAATTTAGAATGCAGCATAGACAAGGAAATTTTGTCATAAAATTAATACGGCACTAACGTATGTACCATGCTATACCCATGTGGTCCTGACATAGAATAGGCCACCCGTTACTTTCCCGTGGGTGTCGTAAGAGGCGACTGAGAGAACTTAATGGTCAGGGGATGGGTGGCTTCCTTCTTAAAACATCAATAACTGCAGTTGCCAACTCATCTGCCAAATGTGGCAACTACTGGCAAATCTGTCCGATAGCGGAAGGTTTATTCAACAGTGGACTTAATTAACGGCTCATATGACGATATGATGACGGACGCCTGTAACAACTGGGAAACCTCTTAACACGTATAAATTTTAAAGAAACTCATAGCCATAATCTTAAGAGAAAGCCACGACAGGAGGATTATTTCACAATCTCACTGTTAGCGGAAGAAAACCGAACTGTGTGTGATCATTCTGTTCTAGAGAGAAATCACTTTGATAACATATACAATGTAATTCGAAGAATAAGTAATGTTCGAACTAAAATTTCATCAAATTTAAAAAAAAAAACAGTTGTGTTTAATAACAAGTGTAGAAAGTCTCACTTTTGGGTTGTGCATTTCTAAAATATTATATACAATGCAACAGAATCCCTTACTACCGACCGTTCAAACGTTAAAAAATAAGCTATACGGAACACTACAAATGCTATCCGATACGTCCTTGGCCGCTTCTTTTCATTTAAGGAACACGTTAACTGTACTGTAGACAAAGGACAAGAGTTCATTTAATATTTGTATACGTATAATCAAAACGCGGCCGCTACACTCGGGGGTCTCGTAGCGCTACGACCTCTACGGCGCTACGGACGCAGCGGCGTAGACGCCTTGTAGCACGCGTAGGCTTCTGCGAATGGAAACCACACATACGGAATTATATTATTAAATTATTTAAAAATAATAATATAACTAATTACAATCACACTATATAAATAGATATTATAGTAAATTGGCCGTGTGGTCCCGGCATAGAATAGGCCACCCCTTCCTTCCCCGTGTCTTAAGCGGTGACTAAGGGTGGGCGAGGGATAAACAGTAGCGTCCCTCTTAAAACATCTCTAAAACCTAACTGCGGTTGCCAATCCGCCTGCCAAGCGTGGCAACTACTGGCAACTCAACAAGCGGGAGGCTTATGTTCAGTGGTGGAGAGTTAAAGGCTGATTTTTTTTTACAACACGGGGCAAACGAGCATGCGGCTCACCTGATGGTAAGTGACTACCGCCGCTCATGGTCACCCACAACACCTACGGCATTGCAGGTGTGCTGCCGGCCTTTTAAAAAGGAATATGCTCTTTTCTTGAAGGTTATGTTGTCGTATCGGTTCGGAAATACTGCTGCTGGAAGTTGATTCCAAAGAGTGGTTGTGCGTGGGAGAAAGTGCCTTAAAAACGCACGGTGGAGGACCGCCACTCGTCCAAATGATTTATAGTAACTCTATTTCTCATGTCAAGTAAATAATGTTTAAAATAAATTAATGAAATAGTACTTAATGAAAAGTAAGTGATAATATTACTTGAACAAGAAAAAGAATTAACTAAATTAACAGCTAGTCAAAATTATCTTCACGTTCCGTACTTGATCCAAAGGTCCCTATAATGCTTACAGAGGGTCTACCATGGAATACATCATAAAATGTTTTCAGAAATTTCGAGGCTGAACGAAACACAGATTTAAGGTTAAAATTACACAATAGATACTGTCTAAATATCTTAAAATATCATTCTTTTAGACTTGTGGTAGGTTGTGACGAACAAAATGTTAAGCTTCATTTACTCAAAACATCTTAAAACAAAAAACATCTCATTTACTTAAAACACGAAATTGAGTCCGACAATTCAGAATTGCATTTCATGGTAGACCCCCAACAATTCCACAGTGGATCGCCAGAGAGATTGAAAATTAGATTTTTCCGCTAATTTAAGAAATTATAGGAGCGTTTCTTAATGTAATGAATTAATAGAATAGATTAAAAATAATTTTGTACGTTCTTTTAATAATTAAATATAAAGAAATTGTAGTATGGAATGATTTTGTAGTCTGGAGAGAAAAATAATGTTTTAAATCAATTGGTATTGTGTATGTGCATTTTAGTATTTATCCATTATATATAATTATTTAAGTTGTGTTAGTGTTTTGAAATATATTACATTTATATTATATTTAGGATTACTAGTAGTATCCTAATAGGATTCAATTGTTGGTCATTCTTGATATATTTTTTTCCACAGTGAAATGTTCCGAATTTAAAACTATTATAATTGATATGAGCATGCCTTATTTGTGGCTAATGATAAAGAAAGCGGTGCGTGCATCCACAGTGCGTTGCCATTTCGAAAATAATTCATTGCGTCTCGAAATGAGGTCACAGTAGCGAGTGAAGTGAGCCGACTGCGCGGCGCATCGCCCTGAAGTGCGGCGGCAACACTGCGCGCGCCGGATCCTAACCGACCGCCCTAGTCGACACTGGCCATCAAAACCTTCGCCTCATTAAAAAAAATACAAAAAAAAATCAAAATCTAAGGCGTGTTCCAAATTGGAAACGCGCTGTGTCTAATACAAACCGCATGATGGCACGCAGTGCACCACCGTCGCGGCGCCCCGACAACAAGTGATGGTGAACAATATGCTACTCTCTGATGAGACTTAATTCGACATAGTGTAGTTAACTCTTATCTATTGTGCTGTGTATATGTAATATTGTATTATTGGAGTGTTGTGCGTGACGTATTATATACCTAATTGATTTTACTCAGCCTGCACACGACCCTATGTAAGTATTTTCGCTCTGAGATCATTTTAAATTTTTTTTTAGGACTGGCCATTTTTTTGAAACATTGTTTTCTATATATTTATGCATTAAAAATATTAATACTTTATTTGATAAAGTAAAAATTATAACAATATTAAGTGTCGAGAGTAAAGATGACATTTCTCACCCTATATAGTAATTAACATGCCGAGTATTTGTTTTTGACACTGTTCGCACTTTATACATGTAATGTGTTATACAAACAATTAAAAATTAAATAGCATTTGAATAATTTTTCTTACATGAATTTTGAAACAAAATTTTTAATTATGTGAATAATTTTTAATAGATTTTTAAATGTCAAGAATTAATCGGAATTTGACCGTATTTTTATATATGTATTTTATATGATATTTTCAGCAATTGTAAGCCAAATTTGATATTTTTTTTAATTATGATTTTTTAATAAAAAAAGAAGTATTCTTCTTTTAGAAGTGCAATAAAAATACTGGTTTAATACAATTATTATTAATATTATTGTGAAAGTGAGTTAACAATTGTTAAAATACGGTGTCAGCGCCTCGTTTTGGACTCGGTCTATGATCCATCATTAAATTAATTCGTCCCTTATCTCCATGCTTCGCAGTGTGTAGTGCCTGTCGATCAAGTTGCCAGTAGCCTGGTCTTTGCACGTTGCTCTCTTCGGTTATTATGTTATTATTTACGCGGCACACTACAAGTGTGCGTTGATATTTGATACTCGTATCTGCAGGAGAGTCGATTTCACGCCGTAAAAATAAGTTAAATCGTGGCATATATATATATATATATATATATATATATATATATATATATATATATATATATATATATATATATATTTTATTATAATTTGAGACTTTTAGTCAATATTATTATTATTATATTGTAATTTATATTTTAATACAAATGGACGTATGGACGATGTCATTATTTATTTCTTTAAAAAGATTTTTGTTGGTGTTTACATTTATATATTTATATATATAAATGGGTGTATAAGAAAAGAGATTTAATAAAAACAATAGAGAATAGAATAGGCAAAATGCTGGGCCACCTTATACGACATGACGATTTTTTAAAGAGCATAGTAGAAAGAAAAATGGAGAGCAAAAGAGGAAGGGAAGACTGAGGAATAACTACATGGGACAGATAAAAGAAACACTAGGTGTCACGCTATGTAGAGAGGCCAAAGATATGGTCTGGGATAGAGCTGACTAACAGAGAATGCATGAATTAATTGCACTGACAAGAGGATACACTTAAATGAAAAGACATATACATATACATATACATATACATATACATATACATACACATACACATACACATACACATACACATACACATACACATACACATATACATATACATATACATATACATATACATATACATACACATATACATATACATATCTCGCATCAACTTATTTTATCCATAAAGAGTAACTACAACAATGATGATAAAATATCGGTTGCAAAAGAATAATCAAAATCGGTTGAAGTAAATTAAAGATTATTTTATGTACAACAATTTATTATAAATATGTAAACTGTTGTCTATATGAATGCAAATAAGAGTCTTCTCATTAGTGAGGTAGCTCATTTCGTGACACGCGGACACGGCTACCACACTTGTACGCTCGTACCAAGCTCCTGTAGTGGAGTACAAATCTCTATTGGTCGCTGTCGCCTCAAACGGCCGCCCGTCAATCTTACTTGAAACGTTCAGGTTACGACTCCTTTATGTACAATATTATTTTTAATCCTTCATCTTGTATTCACTTTCATTAAAAATTTTAGATTTTATAATATTACAGAAACCAGCAGTACAGAAACTACTATTACTTCTTTTTAAGCAATTGTAGAAGAAGGTTCCGAATTCGCTTGTAATATTGTTTGTTTGTTAAACTAGTCTCCCTTAATTCTATACTTGAATTTTGTGCGTGCGTGCGTGTGTGTGGTGCATGAATGCGCGAGCGCCTGTATGTTTATATGTGTGTACGAAATTTTATTAATATATTTATTTATTTTAATAGATTAAATGATAGGTGTTTAATTTTAATTACAAGAACTGTAATGCTGAATTTCAGATTTATAATTATTTAAATGATACCTTTTATATTGTTTTACTTCAAATGCCATTTATTATTAAAACAAAATACAATTTTCTTATGCAACTTAAAATTTTAAACAAGCTAATGATCCATCTGATTGAAAATGATAACCGTCGTCTATAGACACGAACAGTGCTATGGACATAATAGAGTATACTGTGTCGCCCGTGATACCCTTACAACAATATATACAACTGGCCTGGGAGCAATCAATGATCACCATTGCAATGATTCGCCATAAATCCAGCCCGGTAATATATTCTAGCCGCGTGCGAGCACCTGCCCTCCAATGTAACTCCGAATTAGTTTCATTAAAATCCAACTTGTGATCACTTTAGTCTTTTAAGAAGCGCGCACACCTACACTAATACTATAAAGAGGAAAGATTTGTCTGTTCGTTTGTAATAAATAAACTCAAAAACCAATAAATAGAAAGAAAGAAAGAAAACATTTATTGACAACAACAAAAAGTTACATAAATTATGAATTAAAAAAAAAAACTTTACATTTGTTATTGCCAACGTGGCCGCCACTCAGCATGTGCTGCAGCAATTTAATTGCTACAGCGCTGATATTCTATGGTGCCCATGCGTGACAGAAATGCGTGAATAGAAAGTTATATTTTCAGAAAGTAGGCTGAAATGCAATGAGCTGGTCACATAGTTCGAAGAACTGACAATTAATAGGGAAAGTTTTTGAGTGGCGACCCCGTACAGACAAACGCAGTGTAGGACGATCCCCCGCTAGATGAAATAACGACTTCAAATGTATTGCAGGGATTCAGTGGATGCGGGTGGCTCAGGACCGTTCCATATGGCAGTCTATGGGGGAGGCCTATGTTTAGCAGTGGGCAGGTGATGGCTAAGAGAATGATGATGATGATTATTAGCAAATAACATATGTGCATATATAACCAGACGGAGACTTTGTACAAAAGTCGATTGCTTGGGTACCTCTGTCCCATTCGTGTTTCTGCCGTGAAGCAGTTGTCTGCATGGCTGTGGTTCGGTTTGAAGGGTGGGATATGGCGTGAATTTACAGGGTACAGAGGAATAACACCTGAGTCCTCAGGAATGGCAACGCATGGGGGTATCATGGGCGAAACAGTATACTCTGTTATGTCCATGGTACTGCTCATGTCTATAGGCGACGGTATACCACTTTCCATCAGGTGGGCCGTCAGCTTGTTTGCTATTCTAAGTTGTATAAAAAAATGTGCACAACGCACCTTTTTAGTTTCTTTTTTAATTTTATTAAAAAGAAGTTTTTGTTTACGATTCGAAGTTATAGACATGAGCAGTACCATGGACATAACAGAGTGTACTGTTTCGTGATACCCCCCATGCATCCATATTTAATAAGGAAATGAGAATTTCCTTATTAAGTTCGATTGCCATACAATCCAATTCTGAACCTTGTACCCTTGAAAGAGAGAATAACGATTTTTAATTTGCAAAGTTAATTAATTCTCTTATATCTACACAGTAAAATTGAAATCGTTAGCATCCATTAAAGGTTTTTTTAATGGATGATAATGGAATGGTAATCCTGCCTGCGTTAACGGTATACGCTGGGATGCTCTATCAGTGAGAAAGGCAGGTCAGTTAACCCATCGTGATGAATACACCTAGGATTCAGTACGATCGTTTCCAGGGAGGACCATGTGAAGGTCGACCTGATAAGATATATTGCTAGCAATAGGACTAGTAGCTATTGCTAACATGGCACGAACAGCTGCGAAATTAGTTTGAGAAACTCAAAATTTTTTGTCGTTTTCAAAATTCATGTCATAACACATTCTATAGTATAGGCAAATTAGTTTCAGGAACCGTTATCTCCATAGCGAAGTAGTGGTACATATATTATATTAGTATTGGTAAAGATAATGCAGTATAAATACGAGAATACAAAACTTGTATGCAACATGACCGGTGCACGTTTCATCTGCACTCCGCGAATGCATAAAAAGTGCAATAAAGCGCGCTACACACGACACCACAGTGGCGCTGCCGTGTCACCTGGTCGCCACTACATACGGGACCGGATTATGTCCGCGGCCGCGGTTTTATTTGTGAAAATAGAATGGCACCCTGCAAACGTGAATGGTTTACTGCGTGAGGTAAGGAGCAGTACCATGGACATAACAGAGTATATTGTTTCGGCCATGATGCCGTCCATTCGTTGCCATTCCTGAGGACTCAGGACATATGGGACATCATATCCCATACTTCAAACCGAAACACAGTCATGCAAACACAACTGCTTCACGGTAGAAACACGAATGGGACAGAGGTACTCAAGCAATCGACATTTGTACAATATTTCCCTCTAGTAGTCGGCCCCTTATGACGAATTTACCATTATTTGATGTATTTTGAGGAGAAATAAGAGTGGAGATCAATCTGCTAGGCTAAAAAGCCAGCAATAGTGTTCCTAGGCTCTAAATTGCTCCATAATTTGCTCTGTAAAGAAGAACAGCGACAGCAATCGTGACAAAATTAATGTAAAGTAGATCTTATTGACTGTGAAATAATCACTAAAATCAGTCGTATTTTACACTTACAAGAAAGAAATAATACAGGCGGATGGAGACACTCTCCCTTTTGTGAGTCACTTAAAATTGTGCAAAGGTGAATGACAATAAAAAATGGCATACGTGGCATCACGTATTTAGAATTATAATAATGTTATAAATATAAAAAAAAAACAGTCCATTTTCTTCACCAATGATGTAGCTTTTTATTAGTGAAAATTATTTTTAAAATTGATTAAATACTTTTTTATTTATCCATTACTAATCAGAATATGGAGAACTCGAAAAATTAACAAAAATAAAGTCGAATCTTGCTCTTGAATGTGTTTA